GGACTTTGAATTGCAACGCCAAGGTTTGGGGCACTTTTTTTAGGGCAGGACAAGAAGAGGAAGACCATCCTCAAAGCAAACAGTCAGACAACAATCACCCAAGACAGGCAGCTCTAACAGAAAATATGCATCTATAAGACAACCAAACGTGCAACCCAAGCACACACCAACACCTGGAAGGCCAAGAGTCCCATAGTCCAAGGAGGAACCGATGACAAACTCATTGGTATGGAGAAAATAGAAAATCTAATCTGCCTGTCTGTGTGAAAAACCCAAACTTCAAAACTAGACCTAGCAAGCAGAAAAAAGCCAAACATTTTTTACATACGAATTTTATGTTTCCATCATCTGTTCCCCTTCTAATGTTCACTGTATCCCAAATCAGAAGTAACTTGCTTTAGCAAAATTAAGACTTTTGGAGGCCTCCTGCGAAATACCTTGAACATAGACCGCATATTCACACAGCCCATGAGACTCCTGGAGCTGCTCTTTGATGACAGCCTGAAATGAGAAAGTGCAGTGAGTAAATACTGAACCAAAAAGCCTGTTAGCTGGTTCACTATTACCCCTTTACTAAACTGCAGCATGACAGCTTTCAGAAGAATATAAACCCTTCAAATATTTTAATAAAAAGCAATCCCTAGGAAAGAAAATTGATTTCTGACTGACCAAATACTGTAGCCCTTTTAGTATTTCTCTGTTCATTCCTATTACCAATGATAATTAGACATTACCTGGGGGAAATGCCACAAGGAATCTCTGAAAGCATCCTCTGCTGATAAGGGTATCTACTCTAGGCCCTTTCTGAAGAAATAAATTGAATTGGAGCAACTGCAGCTGAGTCAATGAAAGCCAAATGAACAAATGACGAGTACATGGGAAAAGGGAGGGTGGAAAAAACCTGATGAAAATGTAAATTCTTGCTGGCTGCATTCATGCAGCTGACAGTTTGGGGTGCGGGTACAGTTTGGCTATATGCCATAGTCACACATGACCCAAAATTATAAAACTGGTCAAAACCTTTGGGAGAATGAGCGCTGTGGCTATGAACCAAGTGCATCATTTCTGCTCTGAGACTCCTCTTTTGCTCAGAAGTGGAAGAGACAAAGGCGGGGGGGGCGGGGAAGAAAAATTTCTGGGCCAGCAATAACCTGGTGCTCATCTGGCACTTCTGTCAAAGTGTATGAGCAGCACCAGCATCCCCTGCCTCTCAGACGAATATAAATGAAGGGCCTGAAAACAAGGAGGGAAACTGAACCTCAAATACAGCACATAGAAGGAAAGCGGGGTGAAGGCAAGGTGGGTTCTTACTGAGAATCCTCACTCATAAGAAGAAAGCTAAAGAGCGGAAGGAAAAGGAAGAACAAGTCTTGGCTGCTCCTCCCCTCAGATCTGTATCTGCTAATGTATCTGCATTATACTCTTTACAAAGTACATTATTATAGGACATTCAACTCAGACATGACCAAGCATCTCTTGAATACAGATACTCTATATTGCTCCATCTACATAAAACCAGTTTCTCAGAGCAAGAGAGGGCAATAGAGAGCTATCTATCTTTTAGAGAGATCTGATTAATTCTGTAAGCCCTAAAAAGTCCCATAGCAAAAGGCCTTGAGCTGAGAAATACGATCTGTATTCCCAGCTTTTCCTCCCAAGTTTATTTAACTCACCGACAGAATTTAGACATACTGGCAGGAGACCAACCAGCACATGCGATTTTAATTAATTAAAAGCATCTGGTAATTGTAGTCATTTCTTCTTCGCACATAGCAGAGGTAGAAGATTTCTGTTGTGAAAAATGATTAGGGGGCAGGGCTGGAATGGATGCGGCAAGCAGAAAACACAGTTTATTAGCTTTGCATGGGAAGTGATGATCACTGCTTAGCAGGGCCCGTCCCCCCTCTCCCCCCACTCCTCTCTGCCTGCGCAATGGCAGGGGATGCTGCAGCCTCAGGCTCCGGGGGATGTTTGCCTTGCGTCTCGCTGGGTGGAAGGAGAGGTGAATCAAACAGCCAGTGTGATTAATCTCTCACTGTAATCAGCAGCAGAATTTGTCAAAGCTTGGCAACGCCAAAGCAGACGCAGGAGTGGCACTGTGAGGGTTAAAATCAATTTACTGCCTTCACTTTGGGGAGCTAATGTTGGTAAACAAATGGTTTTTTCTTGGCCTTTTACATCACCAAAAAATATGGGAGCTTTTAAAACTGTGTTAGAGAGGAAGCATTTCAAAGCACTGGGTGGAAAAGAGGATCTAGCAAGATTCAGACCAAAATGAACAGCGTCACAGGTCGCTTGTTTAGCTGCGTCTTAAAAGAAAATTAATGGACTTTAACGAATGCCCAAACTATACCAAAATCAAGGAGTTAGCAGCAATTTAAGCCACTGGGGATACTGTCAATACCTCTTTTGGTTTTGAAGGTATTAGCCCCAAACAGCATGTTTGGGGATGTCTACGCTTATAGCCTATGAGGACAAGTGCCCGGAGCATCCAGGTTACATCCGTAACTCCACGTAGCACCAACGGAGAGAGACGGAGACTACCAGAGGGCAGCTCAGCCCACCCGAGATCCGAATCACCTTTCGGACGTGCCTATCGCTCCTCAGTGACTGCAGCGGCATCCTGGCACACTGGGGTTCCTACCTTCTTTGGGACAAATCCAGGCCTCTGAGCACACACCCGTCACATCTGGGTGAAAGGAAGGAAGGTCTTTTAACCAGGTATGGTCTGGTGCCAAACTCCTCCAACTGCAAAAAGGCTGTTTTGGGACCCCTGAGGAAAGGTTTTGCTGCCTTTTACTTTGATAGCTACCGCAAAGCTGGCCTGCCAAGCAGAAGAGCATTAGCTGTCTTTTCTTGATTTTTTTCCCCCACATTTTGCTCACTTCCATGACCGATGAAGACGGGGAGAAGTCAATGTTGCCATTGTATCACCCACATGGTTACTGCCTCTTGTTTTCCTGAGCCATACATCTTTCCTGCATTCCATGATTCTACATCCCATCACAGCAACAGTAAAAGTACACAATCAGAGACCAAAAAAATGCCGCCAGACCAACAGAAAAAGGAAACAATTTCCCATTTAGATTGCTAGTCCAACTTTTGTTTACATCTATTGAAACCAAAATCTGAGAGGAAATCACTCTGCTGATGATACAACCTTCTGGCTCCATTGATTAAAAACTAAATTAATTTCCTCCAGCCTGCCACTTTCCTAAGCACCCCCAGGAGTTCTCCAGCAGAGGGAGACCAGTCCTGACCAACCCTGGTGTTTCCAAAGCAAAAAAGTCTCTTCAGATCTTTTTTGCACATGACGGAAACCAAAAGGCAACTCTTATTCCCCTCCTCCTGCCCACTGGTACATCATCTTCAATAGCTCATGTTTGTTTTATCAGGAAAAGACACTACTTAATAGTAGATTTGCTGTTTCCTTAGTCCACTTACTGGTATAATCCCAAACCAAACAACCTCTTCGAAGCTACCCACCGAACCCAGGAGAAATTAAAGGCTGCAATGTATCATGTGTAAAAAGAAAGCATTTTTTTTCCAAGTGTAACCAAGATCTTTTTTTTTTTTTTAGACTTGGTAGTAAAGTTTTACTCAACTGAAGCAGTTTTCATAGCGCCTTTATAGTACCTTCGAGAGACCTGTGCTATGGAACTACGTTGTTATCAGTTTGGAAGACCCTGTTCACCACTTGGAATAGGAGAGGTTTGCAATTCTTTCCATTTTTCCACTTCCAAAGACATACTGAGCTCACAGATTCCTCCAGAGAACTGCAAACACGAATCCCGAAGGTAGCCAATGATTTGAGAACACTGAAGTTATTTTACTTGTATTTTCTCCAGGTCCTCTTATTCCAAAAGAAGTCAGGAAAGAGGGTGGTTTGAAAACTGGTGTGAAAACTATCGTTTCATAATGTTAGTAAAATACTTCCTAAAGCAAAGTCTCAAAAGCAGCTCTTACCTTACACTCGTCATAGTCTCTGCGGACATACAGTAGATAGATCAACCAGTTTTTCCTCTCCAGGATTGGTAACTCTGGTGCTGTAAATGTAAAATATTAAGAGAATACAGGAAATCAGACTGATCAGCAGAGAAACTGGGCCCAGCACAGAGAGATTCTGAACCGCCCAACCTGCAAGCACAACTAATTCAAGAACTTGCAATTACACCGGACAGTGCAATTAATCATTCACCTTGAAGCCTGGAGTGTGGACATACAACCAGTGTCCAGTTTCATTTTACTTCTCAAAGTGATGGATAAAGCACGTTGACCTCTTAGCAGAAAGCTACCACCACAAACGACTTGAGGCATCGGCTCCTTCTGGTGTGGTCACTGGAGCTCCAAGCACCAACTACGCACATGTTTTAATTCAACATTAATGCTGGTTTGATGAAATTGGTTCTTCCAAATATGCAAGAAGCAGCTTGGGGGAAAGGAGTTGGATTCACGTTTTGGAACTAGGGCAGAAGAATCAAATGTCTTTAAATTTCTGGGAGGGAATGAGAAGGAAATGGGTGATACACACAAAAGGAGATTTTGGAGATGTTGCCATTCTGGAGGTGTGAATAATTTTTAAAGAGGTCAAACTTAGTTCTTTGAAAGTGCAAAGGGACTGTGAAACATCACAGGTCTGAGATACTGGGAAGCTACTGGCAGAAAAAAGTATTTGATGCAGCACAGGAGAAAGATTTGCACTCCGGCATTTCAATCGTAAGGAGCTTGCAGCAGTAATTATGGCAAATCACGAATGGATGTTGCTTAGTGATATTCATGTTGGGTTTAAAAGTTTAACACGCTGCTGTGCATTTCATTAAGGCTTGAAATGTATTGCTCATTACTCCTCTCTACAGTTCAGATGCCGGTAGCTGAGAGGTAACCATAGCAACTGGTAAAAAAGCTCTATGTTTGCAAGTCAATATTATGACAGCAGCGCAGAAGCGAAGCAAGGCAAGGACCGTCGCAGGCGCCCGGGCAGTGGCGAGGGCGATCCAGCACCAGGCCACCTCCTCCCATGCCCACGGAGCCTGGCACGGACCCACACCACCGACGGAGAAACAGGCTCAGCTTCCAGCAACCCAGCGCAGAAAGCATTCTTTGAAGTGATCCGTGGTCCCCTCTGCCAGCCAGCAGCAGGGGTCACGATTGGGTGTAAGAAAGAAAAAGCTCTGCAGCTGGAAGGACTGAACCATGTTGGGAGACGCTATCGGTGCAAAGCGTTATTATCTTTTGGAAACACTGAGCTTTAATCACGTGAGGACTGCGCCCACAGCTAGTAGCAAACACATGTCTCAAGCATTCAAGCTCTCCCCCACAATTCACACCAAGTTTGAGAGCACTTCAAACCAACTAGAATTTCTTCTGCTGCTGAAGTTGAAAAAAATTTTGTAAAGCCATTCTGGTTTTCTTATTGCCTTTTTTCCTTAAATTCCTGACTATCCAGCCAGATTTATGCTAGAGCTGAGATTTAAGTGTGCACACCAGCAATTTAAGGTCAAATACCTTATAAAGAAGGTTCAGCCACCCCAAAAACAAATAGAAAATTCTCAGTCCAAACAAAAAAAGTAATCCAAATGAGCTGAGCTTATGGAAACGCACAGATTAGGGATCCAAGCGTTCTCAAATTCTGCTTTACTGCGTGATACCTGGATCTTTGTAAGGCATTTTAATATGCATCTTCTCAGATCAGATTAATTGATTTCTGATGACTTCACATTTTCCATTTCTTCTTCTTACAGTGAAACCATGAAGGGAAAAGTTAGGAGGCTGCCTAAATAGCTACAAAGTGATTGACAAACCACTTCATTAACAGATTTGAAATGGCTTCTCTGTGTAAGTGCCAGGGTTTGGCAGAACCTTTCTTTTCCAAGGAACGCAGCACTTTGGGGATGCTAGAAATGCCCTGCAAGAGCAGCCAGACTTGTGTGCTCTTCCTGCATCTCCCGGTGCCACTATCCAATACAAAATACCAAACCAGATACCCATTTGGGACTCTTTATAGTTTCTTTTGTAAGCGTGGATTTAAGAGCAGACAAAAATATACAGAAAAGTGAGCTGGCTGGCGTGTGTTGCCAGCTGAGACAGGAGAGAACAAATTACGTTAGAGCCTACACAAATGTTTTGGGCAGAGGCAGCACATCAGTGCGTGGATCAGTTGTTTAATTCCTGAAGGAAAGAGGTTTTTCACACTTTTAAAACCAGAGCGCCATTATGCTCCACTCCCACACTATGGAAATGCCTGCTGAGAACAGGGTTGGAAGGAAGCAACGCTGAACATCAGAGTAAGTGCTGAGCAGAGTATCAAGCTGCAAAAGGAAAGGGTAGAACAGAGACCACCTGCCTTCTGGGTCCAAGACTGCAAAAACCCAGAGGGGTTACCTGAAAGAGCTGGGCTGGAGAGAAACCAGAGGAATCAAAATACGGCATGAGACACAGAAGTGAATGGCCTTCACATCTGCAGAGATAAAACAGTTTTGCTTCCCCCGGTGATACGCTGAGGTAAGGGTGGACTTGGGAAAACACATGGAGTTTTTACGCTCCTAAACCTCATTTGTAAATAGCCACCCACCTGACCGAGGAGACATCACTCTCCTTTTTTCTCTTCTTTTTCCCCAAGACAAGCAAATTGAAACATGACAAAAATTCTGATGTCTTTCAAAAAATATTAATGTAGATTAATTAATCTAGATTAATTCATAGATAGAAGCAAATTGTGTTTCTCACTACAAAACAAACACAAAGATTCATAGAAGAAAGTTGATTTGGCTCCCCGAATTTGTTCCAGAAAGAAAATGGGAACAGTTTGACCCTTTCGCTGAAGAAATCCAACATAAACATCATTAACCAAACCTGGTGTACAACCCACAGAGGGCAGAAAAGAGAGGAAGGACATAAAAATTGTGAATAAATTTGCACAGGAGCACATCTCATCCCCCCCAAAAAGGGGATTATTACCAGGCTCTATACTCTATTCAGATGCAGAAAGAAGTAATGCAAATTATTTGTACACCTCTCCAGAGCCACAACCATCTTAATCTGCATTTCTGGTTTGCCACGAAAGCAGGGAGATACCTATTTCTGGTGCATTTATCTCCCTCAGGTTTGCTCCCCAGCCTGCTGGTAAGGACTTGGCCTGATGCAAAGGGTCACTGCATTTTTCTGAAGAAAAGGGAAATACAAATCCCCAGCTATCTGGGACTTTTAACTCGAAAGAAAGGGAATGAAACAATGCCACCGGAAGGGAATAAAACATTCTGTGCCTTCTGAAAGGACCTGATTCAAATATTGCTGGTCCTAACATCCACGTATTTTTTCCAAGTTTAATAATTACCCACAGAATACCTAAAAAAAACCACCCCCACACACTGATGATGTGTGTCGCTCAGCTCTTGCTGCAGCAGCCAAAGAGAAACATAAGGCTGGATCCGGCCATGGGGGCTGCTACGAGGGGCAGAAGAACAGAAAGAAGCACCGGCAGCACGCCTCAGTCTTCTCAAGTACAAGGATGATCGGAAACAAGGCAGGCTCCATATGGCAAAAAATGGTTTGCAATCTCACACTAATTAGAGCCAGGAACACGTACTGCTGCAACCAGTCGCTCTGGAGGTTTCTGCACAGGGAAAGGCCGCCGGATTTGGCCTTGCCAGGAGGAGCTGAGCACATTCATCAAGTCCCTCAGGCTGCATACATTGCAATTTTCCACTTTTTTCAATACATGGACCTTCAGAAGTTCCTCATACATAACTGCTGCAGAAGATATGAAAATGCGCTTTTCTTTGTCACCTTTCGCAGAGCCCTCGCAAACAATCCAGGCACTGCAGGGATGCAGGGACTATATCTTAGAAAATAGTAGTTTATACCATTCTAGCAGTGGGGAAAAAAAAAAAGCCATTATTTTCTGTAAATCAATCTGCTCAAGGGCCTGTCCAAGAAAACACAATTATCCAGGAACTTGGTATCTACAGTGAACAGGGTTTATAACTAGCATAATTATCTTTTGGCCTCTCTTTTCTGGGATTACAAAAGTCTAGTCTCATTAAGCAACTGCAACAGGGAGCCAGGCACCAAATATATGATTAAATACCTCAGTTGAGAGACATGCCAGTTTCTTTGAAGTGTTTTGATTGAATTCAAAAGGGAATCCATCTGATCCCCCACTTTCTCGGTGGCCAGTGATTGATTGCGCAGCCCAGTTCCAGCAATGTGATTTTTCTTCCTGACAATGCTCCTTTAAGGAAGCCACTGGACCGGAAACCCCAACAGAATCGGAGTAAGATCATCAGGTTTGTATCTGTGCTGCCCTATCATCATTCTTTGCTTTATTCATCCTCTTATAGATTTTCTCAAAGGACTGGGAAAAAAAAATAATCAGAGTTATTCCCTTTTGTGTAAGCCTCCCTAGGAAATTATTTCGTGCTTGCATCTTCATATTGGGTAATTATAGCTTAGATATGAACTATCAAACAGTAGGGTTTAGATTTAATAAAAGGGGGTTGCAATTGCTGTAAAGGGAGTGGAGGAAAAAAACAGAAAGCCCCAGAAGGCTCCTGTCACGTTTTATGGAGGAAACAATTCCTAAAGCACCAGCTGTCCTCTTGAAGAAGCTGCCAGACACAAAGAGACCATTTTTGTGGTAGGTACAGCCAATGTAAAGTGGACTTCAACAGCTGTAGCCATCAGACAGCCTTTCACCCATCACCTTGTTTTCTCTAGTGTGTGAACCAAGCTGCCAGCTGCCTGGAGCACCTCAGCACCCTTCCCGGGAAAAGCACAGGTCAGCCATGGCTCTCTGAGGCGGAGAAGGAGCTCAGGGTCACATTTTAGTTTCATAGAACCTTTAACCTAACCCTGCCATCCCACCACTAAACCATGTCCCTAAGAACCTCATCTATCTTTCTTTTAAATACCTCCAGGGATGGGGGCTCGACCACCTCCCTGGGCAGCCCATTCCAGAGCCTGACAGCCCTTTTGGTGAAGAAGTTTTTCCTAATGT